CTCGTCTGCCGTCTCCAACTCTATTTACTCAGCCAGAACGGGGATTTGATCCAGCAAATGCATGCACACTGGATCTGTCCCGCGCTGACCTCCGGCTGAAGCAGCGACTATACGACTTCAGCGCTCTGAGCTAAATACAGGTCAGGTCTAGTCTCCGGACAGAATCGAGCGCCCGAAGGGCCGAGAAAAGAGCAGGAACAGGATGTCCCAGAGGGAAAGAATGCCTCGAGCAGGTTGACTGAAGACGGAGGGGCCGTTTCCCATGACACAATCATCGCTACTTCCTGGAGCTCTGAGGCTTTTGTACACAAACTGGTGCTGTGGAATGCAAACCCGGCAGGTCAGGCGGTGGCCCTGAGGGTTACAGCTGACGTAAAGCTGCACGTCCAGCAGGCAACCATTAACCCTGCATCCCATATATCAACAAACTCTGGGGAAATACACGTGTATAAAACATGACGGCCTAATCCCCTCTCAGGACACGACCCGAGTGACCTTTCACCTTGCTCTGGGATGGAAGTTTGGCCAGACCCCTCCCTTTGGCCCACAGGAAGACTGTAATGTACTTGCACTTGAAATATTGATGACTAAACAGTATTTGTTTTTTCTCCGTCTTCGTGCAGCACTACCAATTATGGTCCTGCAGCTCTGTCATCAGTAACAGTTTCAGACAGATTGCATTTCTCTCTTTAAGAATATAACTTGCATCTAAAAGGATCAGGAAGGAATAATAATAAAGTTCGAGCTTGTTCTATCAAAGTGGTTTTCAGGAAATTCTTTTCTCTACATTGGACATTTAAAACGTGCTGATTTGGCCTCTGTGTCGGTGTGGTCATACTTTCCACACATCCTCTCCTGTTTCAGCCGTGATGATTTTACCGTCCCACTCCCTCTATGCTGCCTTGTGAAAAAACGCTCGGTGCATTTCTCAGGCTCTCTCTTTACACTTTATTGAAGTAAAGCTGCCATTCGCCGTCAGAAGGGTCGGAGCCACATCTCTCATCAGGCGGCGGTTTATAAGTACCTTAAGTTACAGCTCCTTGCTTTGCGTTTTTTATCATCCTGGATTAAATTGTCAGAGGAGGGAATTCTTCCGATCTCTCGCTCCAGTCCCGGCTATCCATATCCCTGCCATGCTACATCCAACTGCAACAGACACAAAGGAATATCTTCACTCAAACAGTTTACTTTGGACATTTGCCATACCAGTGAGCAAAGAGCTACATACATGCACACATACTAGAAGAAAGTCTAGAGACCCCAAAATAACATGTCTCCAGACAAAACGTTGGTAAAAAAAGCAAAAGAGTCGAGAGGCTGCAGAGTTTGATAAAATATTATAGCTAAAAAGATTAATATGAAATGTATCTATAGTGTGTGTTGAGAAGAGAAGCAAGAAGAGGTCACAGACAGTAACTCTCATCAGATGCAGACGCACAGATATAATCTTAAAATCCATCAAGTCCAGACCAAAGAACTCAAACAGAGGTTTTAACAAAGTCAAACAAAAGCCTCTCTGACAGATAGAGAGGAATACATTTGATCATGTGAACGCTGCGATATGAACTCAATGGCATGGAGACAATGCCAATCCAAACATTACATTTCTGTCACATTTCTGTCTTCTATGTCCTTATTTTAATATTTTAACTTTTAGACAACAATTTCAACCATTACTTTGAGCTATTTTCATCAATTTATCAATTGAATCTGCTGTTTATCTATTACTTTTAGCTAACTAGTTTAATTTGTTTGTACTCTTAGCTTACAGTTTCTATATGACTATTTTTCACACACTATGTGAAAGTGCTCAGAATGCGGACATATTTGTTGAATCAATTTATATTTTATCACACTTACCGCCTGGCAACTACAGAATTAAATCAGTGAGGTAGAGTTTACTGGAAACTGTGTCTCACGTTTGTACTATCTTCAACAACACATGTGACGTATATTACATGATGCCGTACCACACAGTAAATAGTTCTTGTTAAACATTGTGTTTTGCTCCAGAAACAATATAACATATCTTATTCTAAAGTCAAAAGGAGGCTTTATTTTCTATTCATCGTCCTCAGCAAAGATAGCCCTGTCTCCTCTCTCTTACCCGGCTGATGTAGATCCAACCTTGGCTGCTACTGTATTTGCTGATAACAAGAATGACTGACCTCTTTTTCAGTAAAGAACAAGTTTGATATTATCAGCTTCAAAAGGCCAATTAACTGTTTTATTTTGCACCTGAAAAGTGAGGCAGCATCTCTGAGAAAAGATTTGCATTAATTCAGCTTGGCCTTAAACGCTCTCAGTAAACAACGGCCTAATTTGACTTTGTTGCTACTTACAGCGTGACATTTCAGCTTCGCCACAGCCACAGCCACCGCGACACGTCTTCAACTGTTTCACTTCTGCTCGTCACTCTCACACGGGACATCCTGTCGAGCACATCTGCTTGGGCAGCCAGACCTCATGTTGTGTCTGCACCGTGCACTTGTTACCTGTGTCTGTGCCTGGAATAGCACGGCCTAACGTGACCTGGTTCTGCACACCAGGGTGAGCACATGAACGAACTGACACTGGAGAGCTGTTATGAAGCAGTAGCAGATATCTTATTCGCTATTACTGTGCAGAATCCACAACTTCCAGCAAACACTTTACCTTTCTCCCAAAAATGACTCACAGCTGTGCATGTGTGGGATGTAAGGTCTTCAGAAGTCTGTTTACATTTGGGTCAATCTTGTCCAGCAGGTGTTTTAAAAGCCTCCCTTCGATCTTCTCTTGGTAATTACTGGGCCTCAGAGAGACGACGGCCCCATTTAGCAGCAAGCTCCCGATACTGCATTGACCATGTACCATAGACTGCAGCGTGCTTCCAGGATGGATACAGAGACAACTAATGGAGGAGGTGAAGCCCATACTTCTAAGTGTCTGCACGGTTGACAGAGAGGAAAGAGGATGAATTTCTTCTTTCGGGTACATGTTTCACATTTTAGTGAAAATAAACGAATGGATGCACACAGGATACCATAAGCTCAAACTCAGCAACGTCTGAGGTCAGGCTTTTCAATATTTTGAACGGTGCTTGGGTGTCGTAGATATTCGAGAGAGGTTCAAGGCCCTGCTGTTATCTGTCCCACAGACTCTGGGACAGCGGCCAAGCCGATGCCATCTCAAGAGAAGGAACGCAGCAAAATGGCAGGAAATTCCTACTTGGTTTGCCTCTCATCAGCGGGAGAAATTCTTTCAGATGAGGCTGCTGAAATGTTGCACGAATATGCGAGTTCTTTTGACCGGTCGGAAACACAGCTGTAGGAGTACGTGGGACGGAAAACCAGTTTAAATGCAGAAACATGGCAACGAGGCACAAAAGAGGAAGAAGATAGGAGAGGGACCGTGACAGAGAATAAAGTCAAATTTCATATTCATATTCTACACTCTATATTTTACATTTCCTGAGAAGAAATCACACTTCTTTTACCTAAGAATTCATCCAAACCCAGCACTATGTCCAGTGTTTCTTGACAGTTTGATCAGATGCAATGTTCTAGTCAGTCCATGGTTCTGCTAGACTTTACACAAGCTCTGATAGATGAATGGTCTGTACACGAGGATTTGGCGCCACCCAGTGAAAACTGCATATAATGGCATCTTGTTGTCACAAACCTTATTTTCCAGTTACTGCGCAGAACTTGCATGATGGATTAATGTGGAATAACAGACACTTCTAGGAGCTTGGCGTTGGTCAGAATTTCTTGCTCTAAAATGGGCCAAGTTTCCTCTCAGCGCAACATTGAAAACACTGGAAAGCATCTTTAGTTGAGCACTAGGGTCTCCTGACGCAACACTGTTAGCTTTTGCAGTAAATTTACCACAGAATTACACAAAATGCCCAATAACCCTACCACAAACACATCTTGACAGGTAGTCACTGTAATTTGCATAGCATTGCCATTACATTATGATACTTCTTCTGGAATTCTAATCCTCCTAAAATGGGCAGAAAGACCAGTTTGCTTACCGACACTTGGCCCTGAGGTAACGTCAGTGGTAAGGTCGGCCTCACCACTACTTAAAGAATTAATAACTGTAAAATATGTCATGCTAGTTGCTACTAACCCCTTCTGCTGTATCCTATTGCTCTAGATTAGATGAAATCTTGAAAGGGCAAGATGAACTTCAGACTAGCAAGTGCTGTGCCTATTGAAATAAAATGTCTAACAGTGACTGATTAGCAACACTAGGTCAACACCAGCATGGAAGTTAATTCCTAATCTTGGGAACTGTGTGTAAAAGGGAAATAATCTCAAATCAAAGCTCCATTTACTAGCTTTTTCAGAGCTTTCATCGTATGACGAAAACCACGCGATGTGGTCAAAATCTCAGAATGTGACTTTTGAATTGAAATCACTTCGTCACACATTTAAAGAAACGTCGGCAAACGACAACTCTCTGTGAGACATACCTAAAATAACAATTTCTCTCCCGAGCTTGGGAAAAAGGATGCAAGGTCTCCAAATCTGATTTTATGAGAACAGCGCTCGACGATTTCCCTCCTCGACCCCTTGAACTCAAACCCATTGTGCTCCTTGCTGGCTGTCCTCAGCTCATTGTTAGATGTGGTCAATGGAGCAGCCAGGAAAGAGGCCAGTGTGACCAATATCATGATGCTTTGCTGCCACCTGGTGCATATATGTCATGCAATTTAAAGGAGTGCATGATCTGTAATTATTCCCAAAAGCACCTCCAAAAATGGAATATACTCTTACACCACCGATCATTGATGTCAGTACACAAGCACCCCCACACAAGCACCAATGTTTCCCACATGTCTCAATATAAAAACAAAATCAACTACACCAACAAGGACGTGTGAAAAGATGGGAGGACTCCAGGTGGCTGATAAGATGTTTAGGATTGACTGGCCTTGTGATAGAGAAATGTGTGAAAACACTGAGAAGAAGAGCTTTCACATGCCTCCATCTTATCCTCTGCTGTCCAGCTGCTCTCTCCTGAAGCAGACAGTCGGCGGCTCCATGGACAAGAAGGTGGTGCTGATCACGGGCTGCTCCTCGGGAATCGGTCTCAGCCTGGCTGTCCGGTTAGCCTCCGACCCAAACAAGACATTCAAAGGTAACCAATGCTGTCTCTGTCTTTTATTGCATTCCTCCTGTCCTCACTGGGTCAGGAACTGTTGATATTGATCTGTATAAAAAGCAAAACATTTGAAAGGAATCTGTATCAAGACATGATTTCTGTTTAGTGTATGCCACGATGAGAAACCTGGCCAAGAAGGAGCGTCTTTTAGAGTGTGTGAAAAGCCTGCACAAGGACACCTTGGACATACTCCAAATGGACGTGACCGTCCGGCAGTCCATCCTGGACGCGAGGGACAGGGTTGTGGAGAAGCGAGTGGACATTCTGGGTACGCTCCTGTGTCGTCGGCGTGTTCTCGTTAAGATTGTAATTTGTGTGTGTGTGTGTGCGTGCGTTGATGGGCTTACCCTCGCTACCCCGCAGTGTGTAATGCCGGAGTGGGTTTGACGGGGCCGCTGGAGGTGCAGTCCTTGGACTCGATGAGGCAGATCCTGGAGGTCAACCTCTTCGGTACCATCCAGACCATCCAGGCTTTCTTGCCAGACATGAAGGCTCAGGGCCAAGGCCGCATTCTGGTCACCGGGAGCACGGGAGGGCTTCAAGGTGAGTGGAGCACATGGGTTGAGGAATCGCCGGACGTCAACAGTGTGTTCCGCACGTGCAGTTTTTCTAATGATTTTGGCGGGAATCCCGAGAACAAATCGCAGTCGATGCTCGCTGCCGTGCATGAAATTGCCAAAACAAGCCATCTTCCTGCTTCATGCTCTCTTGCAGGTCTGCCCTTTAATGAGGTGTACTGTGCCAGTAAGTTTGCGATAGAGGGAGCATGTGAGAGCTTGGCTGTCCTCCTGCAACACTTCAATATCCAGTGAGTTTCAATGTTTGCTTATCTTCTTTCCCCTTACTTTAGAGGCTGTTAACTGTAAATGTTGATTGTGCTTTTCATCCCTGCAGCGTGAGTCTCATCGAGTGTGGTCCAGTCAACACTGACTTCCTGGTCAACCTGCAGAGGGCAGAGCTCGGGGACACGTCCCTCCAACAGGTGGACGCCCTCACCCTCAGCCTCTATGAAAAATACCTGCAGCACTGCGGCTCCGTTTTCCAAAACGCAGCGCAGGACACTGAGGACATCGTGAAGGTGCGTCAAAGATAAGGTCGAGCTCTATTTAGACAGAGGACACGTCTTTGTGCAGCAGTCGCAGTGCAAAGTAGGCAAAAGTGCAAATATAAAGAGTGCAAAATTCTATAAGATATCCAAGATGTACACATTCTTCCTTCATAGAGGATCAAAATACTGCGATAGTTTGAGTTTATCACAGCAAATTGACAAAAGTTAGTGTGCCAACGTCAGAGCGCTGCTACATTTAAGCCTGTGGTGTGTTTGTTTTTGTCTCCAAGGTGTTCCTGGAGGCCATCCAGTCTCACAGCCCTGCTTTCAGATACTACACCGGGGGAGGGGTGCCACCTCTCACCAAACTGAAGATCACAGATCCAGATGGCTCGCAGTACATCAGGGCTTTGAGCAAAATCATGTTCTCGGCTGAGGAACAATAATTTTTAAACCACCGCTTGCTCTTCTCTTTCTTTATGTGCGCAGGTCAACATTATTGCTCTTTCAGTTTCGATTATCGGGAATAAAGTTGACGCACTGTGTGACTCACTGGTTGCTCTAAGGGCTGTGAGTTCAGTTTTGTTAGTTCACATGACTTCATGGTTCTATTTTTGTATGTCACTTATCAAAAGTTGTATTCCTCATCACAAAGTAAAGTTATAAATATAAAAATAGATAATTTTTCTGGTTGGTGGAGAAACATTTGAAAAGGCTTGTGAGTGCATTCCTGTCTTTTGATTCTTGCCACACTGGTTGGCATATTTTCACAGGGATCAGCGAGCTTCTCGACAGGTTCTTGCCACCCTGTAAAATGTAAAACACTCCAAGAATTCTCTTTCATTTTTAAATTGGCTCACCCCAAGCAACAAGAACAACTTCCTCGCTCTAAAGCATGAAACGAAGAAATGTTTCATTTCTGTTCTTGTGTTTGCTGAATGGCATGTCTTAAAATGTCCCTCGAGGGGTAAACGAATAAAGCATTTGAACTGAACTGAAACGACGTCCATTATGTGCCTTTACTTACTTCATAATAGAGGTCAAGTGTCACAGGGAGTATGTTATAGGGAACACAGGAAATACTGATCAAATTCTATATTTTTGCCCAGTAAATATGTATTTATCGCAATGTCCGATTGATAATCAGGAGATACGGTATTTTGTTGAAGTGGAAAAATCTCTTTTATTTTAAAAGAAAAAGAAAGAAGAAGAGTAGGAAAACACTGTTAACAGCTAGTTTAATCTGGAAATATCCGTTCAGTATCTCTGTCCTCTGGTCCTCTTAACATATTGTCAGAATATAACAGATGGCGTCATAGATTCTGTAGTTCACTTTCCTAATCATTGAAATCTAACAGGAAGGCTTTTTAGCGGAGAAGTTTGCACGCTTTAGACAAGCCGTCTTATATATTTTCTACTGTGGGCGACATATAAGTAGACACACAGTTAAGTTCTTTGGCTGAAGGAATGACGGCCTGCCAATGATTAATACATGTGAACTGAAAATGCATGCGCAGTGACGTCTTTGTAAACCAGTGACATCACTGCAGCGACTCCTATGTAGTCGTGAGACAACAGACTGCATTAACAGAAGTTAGTTATTACTGAAAGTCCTCTATTACCTTTCTCTTTCAGTAAAAATGTAAAAGAGGGCACTTAAAAACAATGAAAAGTTAAGCAATGTCTTTCTGAGTTGTTGTAAGTGAATTGTAAAGAGGACGTTTAGCTGCCTCGGTTGGACTTTTGAATCACTGAGCTGCATCAAACTGAAGGAGGGCCAGCTGGAACCGCAGCCACCACCTGTGTAGTCATTGGAACAGCCTGTTAAGCCCATGAGTATGTTGCCTTATAACCTGAATGGTTGGCAATGGCATGTCTCTACGTCTACGCATGACATTTCTGGCCTTTGATGGCATGTCTGAGGTTCTTAAATCCCTCCCTGATCAAGTGAATTAATTCCAGTCTGAAGATCCTGAGATGGATCCTGCTGTACCTGTTTGGACTGTGTGTTAACACAGAATGCTGCATCACCCAGAGGTGCCAGCCTCTTAGAGCATACAGTATTATGCAGAATAAAGTCAGTTAAGAGCATGGTGCATTAAAATGAAATGTAGTTTCCTATCACACTGCTATCATAATGTAAACATTTTCATTTAGCCTAAAGCTATATTTTCAGCGATTCAATCACAAATGCGTCATATGGAACAAATGTTCTTACAGTAAAAGGCAAGTTTATTAGTATAGCACATTTCAACAACAAGGCAATTCAAAGTGCTTCACATAAAACCATTAAAAGCATCAACACATAAGGCAAAAGAACAAATGTGCATTTCCTTATGTACTTTTGGGTGACAAGAGTAAAAGCGTCAGTCTAAATTCAGAACTTGTCTGTCTCAGAGTAAGAGATTCATTGTGCATTCCGTAATAACAATACCACTTGTGATACCTTGTGTTATTAGAAATCATGGAAATAAGTTACAAAATATATGTGTCTATAAAAAAAAAAAAAATTAAGTGATCAATTTATCGTTTAAACTGGATCCGGCTCTCTGATTGGCTAGAGCCTCCTGTTGCGTCACTCTTTTCTTGATCGGATAAGTGCAGCAGTCATCAGTCACTGAACGACAGCCTGTGTCAGTCTCCAAACACACAAACTTCAGCATGACCAGAAGAACGAGCCCGCGTCTCCTCACGGCGCTGCGGGAGATGTCTGCAGTCCGCTCCGCTACAGCCGTGCGAGGAAACGGCAGAAGAGCAAATATCTTGTGAGTAATACAACGGGTCTCCCCTCCCGCCCTTTCCTCGCACGGCTGTAGCGGAGCGGACCGCAGACATCTCCCGCAGCGCGTTGAGGGGAGCCCTGCGCGTGGTTCAGCTT